AACCAACACAAATTGAGAACAAAAAACCTGTGCTGATTTGGGCCCAATCCCAATTCTATTTTTTTACCCCTACCCCTTACCCCTTCAAAAGGTTTCAAAATTTACCCCTAAGAATTGGGACAGCACAGCACCTGCACACGTCATCATGTCATCGCCATCTTTTGCTTAATATGAGATCAGACGATCGCGACTGCTGTAGTGATTCCAGTTGTGGTATTTTTTGGTATTTATCTTCAGGATAATGTGGCAATAAGATTGTAAAACTGTGCATTTAAAACAGTGGCCATATTCATCAATGTAAACACACAAAAAAACATTAACATTATAGCCAACACTGTTTTTATTTTAGCGTTTTTTTAAGTGTTATGGTAAAACATGAACGGGGTTATGAATATATCAAAACATACGCTAGTTTGTTGTAAAAATTTATAATAATGACATAAAAAAATACTAATTTGTGGATCTCCTTACTTTCGGGTGCAGCTGTAGTTGGTGTATTCTGGGAATTTTTTCTTACCCCTTAGTTTCAAGTGTGGTCCTGAAAAATCTTCTTTTGAAGAGGTGTATACCCCTTGCCCTAGCCCTACGCCTTAAAGCTAAAGAGAATTGGGACACTACTACTCCTTGCATGCACAAAAAAGGGGTAAGGGGAAGGGCTAAGGGGTAGAATTGGGATTGGGATTTGAAGTCATTTGAGCAACATGGGGTGGGAAGTGACGTCACACTGTCCAAAAAAAATATTGCTTAATATCTCTGACCCCAAACCAGCACAAACTATTGGCATAGTTTTGGGGATTATTTGTTTTTATGGGGTGCCAACTTTACGGAGGTAACATAATGTTTGTTTTATGTGACCAAAACCGAAAGCAGCTCCCCCCATACTCAAAGCTAAAATATATACCTCCCACCCTCGTAAGTCGCACCTTGTAAATCATCCATAATTATGAATCAAGCAGAGGTAAGTGATTCTTTTAACTTTTCGTTTAACTTTTTGGTGATCATCTTCTCTTCCCTCTTGATGACCACTGACCTACTTTCTGCTAAATCTTAAATTCACGATCTGAATTTCTGAATTTTTAATGAATATCTGCAGTCTAGGAAATCAGACCACAAAAAATCAGAAGTTTGAAAATATGTCTATAAAAGATTGTTAGAGTTTAAAAATTCAGTTGTTTTTAATTTTTAACAACATACAAATTTAGATTTATTAAATTACAATTGTCAATAATTCAAATTAACAGTTCAAATTCAGATTGTTTTGACATATTATTACCTTCATTCACCTGCTGCTTCTTTAATCAACTTCAGTTTTGTCAGCCAGGCATGCTCTGTGCATGCACTCTCTCATGCACTCTTAGGGGGCCCCCTGGTGGCCACAGGGCCCTAAGCAGCTGTTTAGTTCCCTTGTACTAGAGCTAATTTTTGCTATCATAAAGTGTCAATGCTCAAATGGAAGCATAAAAGCAAGGGGTATGTCTTTGAAATAATGATTATGAAACAAACTGAGGAAATCATCAGGTTAGAATGTCAGCCTTTATCTGGGCAATGCGTAACTGGAACATACAGAAAATTCCCCCCTCCAGAGGGAACCGGTGCTAAAGGAGATGATACCTCAGGGTTGATGAGCTGTCCAGGTGGCTTTCCATAGAGTGGATTCATATTGACAGTTAAAGGAGCTGGGGGGTATTCCAGAAAGCTGGGTTAACTTACCATCTGCTAAACCCTGATCTCTCTGTTGATTAACCCAAAACCTGCTTACCGCGAGTATGTCGGTTCCAATAAGAGTAAGTTAAATCAACCTCCTGAAGATAACCGCAGGTTAATGCGTGCACATGGCGCATACCTGAAGGCATTTTCAGTAGATCGCCGATTTCACGAGTCACCATAGAAAGTCACGGTGATAAAAAAGGGCAATGCACTTTACAGAGGCGGAGCTGGAGGTTTTAATCACAGATTAATCATCTGCATCAATGAAAGAAATATAAGATAAGAAATAGATAAGAAAAGAAAAATTAAATAATAAGAAAATTCATTAGTTCATTAAATTACACATCATGCCACCCTTTCTTTCATTGTAATGAAAAATTTAAATTCTCTTTAACATCCTTTTTGAGTATGTCATGTAACCATTCATACATTTAATTTTCCTGCCAATATTTTCTTAAGGCCACAATACAAATGTGTATTGATTAGGATATAAGGCTTATAGAAATTGTAATCCTTTTGGAGCTAGAAGAACTCTGTCCAAAGTTATAATTAAACACAGAAACATTCTCTGAAAAGGTAATATTTGATTACAGGAGCTGTATTAAACACTCTAGAATATTCTTTCTGTTATGCAGCTAATAGAAAGGTGGCTGTGGCCTGTCTAACCGAGGGCCACCTGTTAGAGTCAAAGTTCCTTCTGCCTCAACTAACAAGCAGTGTAGGAATTTGTCTGCACTTTTCCAAATTTGAATTTCACTATCGTATCACAAAACAACCTTTCATTTATATATTTGAATTCTGAAATAGCTGTATATTTAAGATATAAGGTCCATCTTCAAAGATAAATAAAGTCACATGAGCATCACCATATGTTACACTTTGAAAGGTGCGTGTATAAAGCAGTGTAAAAAAATCATTCATTTTATTTAAGGAAATAAAGAAATGAACAGTGCTTCAGACCAAACTATTTAATTAAACGTATTTTTTTGACAAATAATATTTCTTAGCACTCTTCCATATCTTTGGTCTGCTTGTGTCACTTAGGTTTCCTCTGGGTCAGGCTGCAGGTAGGGTGTCATCATATAAGGCAGAAAAGGGTATCCTTTGTCCTCCAGGAAGTAACAATGCAGTGCCCAGTAATGATTCAATTGTATAATACAAATATGGTAAAAAGAAACATTGTGTAAAGCAACATTTGCAAAACATAAAGCAAAATTATATTAAAATGTATCAAGTGCATGTGTGTTCGTGAATAGATGTATAGATATGATAAGATAAGTCCTACATCTTAAAATATGAATTTATTTTCCTACAAAAGACAAAGCTACCACTTCTTAAAATATTATATATAAGCTACGGAAAAAAGTGAGGGGTGCAGAAAGAGAAATAGAGAAAAACATGAGATCTCTACGTGAGATTCCAACTTGTTCCACTGTGCGCTTCGTTGTTCCTTAATGACACACTGTCCACTCTGCTATTGCAGCGCTCTAAATCATCAGTGTAATGATTCGTAGTGGTTTGTGGCTAAGGAACTGTACAAACGTGTTTGAAACAGTTCAGTGCCAGGCATACTGTACAGATGGTCCTATTGCCACATTGTACAGAATGCCTTAAATGCCCTGACGTGACTACAAAGAGCTGCACTGAATGCTTTGTTAAGCATGCTATGTTAAGCGCAGACACTCGGTTTGTCATGTTTGATTTCAAAAGGTTTTTTAAATTCATTAACAAATCTTTTAAAAAAACAATGACATTCATTCAAATATACATTTGGTTATGAAATGAACTAATTACTTATAACCATCTCACAAAAAAAAAAAAAAAAACGTGTATATCTGTGCTTCTACGTCCATCAAAATTCTAATCAAAAGAACCCGCAATGCTCAGTAAACTCTCTAAAACTGACAAACTCTGGAACATAATTGATTCTTCATAGAGTAAGTTGCTATGGCTACTTAACATACCCCAGACTTTATCTCTGATTTTGGAACCAAAGCAGAGGTTATCCACCAACAGTACTTACTCTCAAACTTACCCGGGTATGCCACATATGTCGCAAAATTTTCCTACGAGAGTAATTATAGCGCCTCCCAATGTTGAATACAGTTATACTCATGGCATGTACTATTTGGTACTTTGGTCATTTTTTATTTTTTTTTTCATTGATTTGGCAACCGTTAAACTTCATCAGGGAAATGGGTTGAATTTCCTCTTAGTAAAAAAAACATTAGTGTTCCATTTGGGATGTCACTATATTTATTTATTATGCTGTTGAGTGTGTAAGTGCATGTGTACATAGTGCATAGTTTTTAGTGTGGTTTGGTATGTAGCTAGAAAGTTATGTTTTTGTTAGCAAGAAGTTGCTAGTTAACAAAGTTGTGCATATTTAAAGTCAAAGGGAACAGTAGCCGACACCGAAATGCACATGGTCATGGTTTTTTAAATGTAGAAATACTTATTGCATTTAAGTTTTGTAATTTTAATAAAATATAATTGTTAGAACGAAATATACACATTTAGGAAAGTATAGATATTAATTATAGATATGTGGGTTTTATTTCAACAAAGTTATTAAATGACAAAAATTTTAAACTGCAAAAATTACCCTCTTAGCCCTAGTGTTAGGTGTTATGTGTGAAATATAATTTTGGCTAAGGATAATTTTGGCTAGAGATATAGAGAGGTATATACCATTAGTGGTATACAAAAAGCACAAAGTGGTATACAAGTACTTTGTGAAATGGTTATTTTTAATGTTGGTATATAGTGATGTAGGCATATAAGTGATGATACCTTTAAAGTGACATAAATCTCAGTGTTGCAACAAATGGCTCAAAAATCTGTCTCATGTTGGGTTGTATGTCTTAAAGCTAGTCTGTCAACATTTCTATTCAAACCTTTGCATGGACGGCAGATGGCTGGATGAGAAATGAGAGCACATCAGAATAATGCCTTGAGTAATTCACTTGTGTTCATCCCACTTATTAAACATCAACCCTAACCTTAGGCTGTCATTCATTTTCATTGTGAATTGTTGATTTCTGGAAACATGAGCAACTGTGTTTATAGGCAATGGAACAAAGATGAGCACAATTTCACAATGTCTCAGTGAGCAGCAAGCAGTGATTTTGCGATGCAATGCAAATATTATGATTGAAAAACGTTTTAATGCAATGTGTGCTCTTTTGAGGAAGTTTGATAGACAAACTTGCACATGTGTTTATTGTCCCAATGTTATATAGACAAGCTGAAAGTCTTTACAGTAAATGACTTGTTTGTGTTGTGTTTTACAGGCACGGAAGGCTTTAGCAGACCGACAGAAGGATCTTGAGGTGAAAACCCAGCAGCTTGAGATCAAATTAAGCAACAAATCAGAGGAAGATATAAAGAAAGCCAGACGAAAATCCACACAAGCAGGTCAGAACATCAATACAAATGCCGTTCATTAAGCCCAAATTTGATTATTTTATTATACACCTGTACATGTACACCTGCTCATTACAAACCTGTAGACAATACTTTAATCTAGGATGTTACTAAACCTGCTTTTGCAAGTTTGCAAGTGTGTTATTTTACCCAAATCACAGTCAGTTCCTCTAATTCTGTCATCTGTCATAACACCATAACCATCAGACTCCACTGGCAGACAAACTCCTGTCTTTGCCAGCACTCAATAGGGCTGACTCCCTCAATAGTCCCTCAATTAAAAAAAAAAAAAAATTAGTCATTCTCCTCCACTCAGGATAGCTTGCAAATTAAACCAACCCTCTATAATCTGGGTTCAATCCTTTTTATGTTGAGTAAGGAGTTTTCTTTGTAATAAAAGGAGGCTATGAATCCAAAATGTTTTTGCACACATTTGCTGAGAAAACCAATTTTGTATGATTGCCTTCTTTGCAGCTGTAAAACCAGCAAACAACATTCTCTTCTTTAGTGTACTTGTACAGAAATTAGTTTCATCATTGAAAAGGCATAAACCCGGACTAGACACAAAATCAACTTGTAGTAAAAAGGACAAAACAGAATTTACATGAGACCACAGGTCAACAACAATTGGACATTCCCAAAACATATGAAAAAAATTACCTGAGGATACAGTCTTATAAAGAGTTATATATGCTCTATGTATAACTTTGAAATGGATAAGACGATGAGCTAAGTTTTTTGATTGCCCATTTCTTGCCCATTGTAGACCAAGAAGGCTGGACAAATGGCCGATTTCCACATAAGATTTTAAAGTTGTGCCACTAGGGCGTATTGTTATAAAATTTGAAGGGTCCTCCCATAAGACTTTCCACTCTTTTCCAGATCCTAATTGAATTGGCTACAATCGAACCAAATTTGTATTTATCATTTGTATTTCCTATACCAGCAAAAAGGATATCTTGGAGCCTATGTGGTTTAACCTTGTCATCTTCATGAAACTTTAGATTGAGGATCAATCCAGATATAAAGATCTTTAAGTCGGAACGAGAAGTAATAAAACTCTAAATTTGGTACAGCCAATCCTCCTGAATGTATAGAATGCTGCAATGTGTCTAGATTTATTCTGGGACGTTAACCATTCCAGATAAACTGAGAAAGTATGGAATCTATCTCCATAAAATAACATGGAGTAGGAGAAAGAGGCAGCATAGAAAAAAGAAAGTTAAGCCGTGGTAATAAATTCATTTTGACCACGGAGATTTTGCCTTGAGGAGAGACTTGGAAGATTATTTCACCTCTGAGTATAATTTTTAATCTTAACTAAAATGTAATTAAAATTATTTCTGGCAATTTTATAAATGTCTTTACATATAGCTACACCCAAATATATGAAAGAATCTTTAATAAGAATGATGAAGAGATAGGAAAATTAACTTTAAGCGCTCTATTGCAAAGTACAAAGCGCAGAGCGCGAAGGCAATTAGGGAGTGTCGGAATCCACTTTTGCTAATTTAGGGACAGAAAAATCCGCTTTGCGCCATGGCGCATGGTCTAAAAGGGTTGAGCTTATTTTCTTAATGAGTTATAGGTGTGTTTTGAGAATAAATCAATCAGACTCTCATCTCCCATTCCCTTTAAGAGTCAGTTGCAGTGCGCCATAAGCACATTGGCTATTTACTTGACATACTTTGTAAGTGGAAAAACTGAACATTTCACTTGCAAGAAAACAGTTAAACAGAGCATCTGCAGCGCGAGAATGAGAGATAAGGCCTTCTCATGATCTATTTTCACTTTCGCTCTTGTGGATAGGGAAACCTAGAACGCACAGACATCAATTAGCCTATAAATAATTTATTTCATTTGTTAAGCACAAATATTTGTTTCAAAACTGTTTCTAAATTCAGTTCTAATTATAGTTCTTATATCCAAACACACATGTTATGCCCCATATGGTCTAAAACCTGACAGGTGGGCAAATCTAAGCTTGTTTTTAATTAAAAAAATATATACATATGAATATAAAAAATAATACTGCTAAATAATAATAACATTATACGAAAGCAAATTGTTATGAATAAATTGAAAAAGAAGGCATGAAAGCTTTGATCTGATCTATTTGAACCTTCTATTTAAGTTCCTCAAAATAGCAACGCGCTAGGAATGCACCTCAATACACCTTCTTTTTTAGAACAGAACGCCTATGGGCGCACATATGAGCGCAAATGCATTTGCTATTTAAACAGCGTAGCGCAAAATGTCAAAACGACTCTTGCGCCATGCTGAAAGTAGCAAACAACAATTGCGTCACGCCTTGCGCCACATTGCCCTGGGTGTATGATAGGGCCCTAACACTGTTAATTGGCATTAAAGCCTATTTGGTCCAGTTTATCTTGTAACCTGATAAACTTCTAAAGTGATCAAATTCCTTGATTATACTGGTTACTGAAAGGGTCCAGATATAAAATAATGTGATCAGCATATAATGTAATATTATAATTATGGTCATGAATCTTAATTGGTAGGACATCAGAGTTTCTAATAGCTTATAGGATTTGTGGTTAGCTTGTCATCTGGAGATGTTATTGCACTAATGTATGCTTTAGATTCACATTCTTTCAACCTGAGGGTCAATAAGTGGCTAGGTCTCTCTGATTTATAATAGTATTTTGGCCTCGTCCTGTGTAATATAAACTCTGCCTTTAATTGTAAAAGCAGTTCATATTCCTCTTTCAAGGAGGACAAGTGTGTCGCTTGTTGATCAGAAAAGTTTTGATTTTGTAACTTTTGTAAATATTGGATGTTATTTTCTAATTGTGTAAATTGCCGGTTTTTGCTTTGGCTAGAGCAGACGAAAAAGATGTACAGAATCACTGTATTATACACTTTGTTGTTTCCCACAGTATTTGAGGTTCTACCACACTAGATGTAATGTAATGTGTATTTATATAGCGCATTTATTGTGTATGGCCGTACACCCAAAGCGCTTCACAATCATGAGGGGGGGTCTCTCCACACCACCACCAGTGTGCAGCATTCACTTTGATGATGCAACGGCTGCCACAGGACAACGGCACCAGTGCGCTCACCACACACCAGCTATTGGTGGAGGGGAGAGACAGTAATAGAGCCAATTCAGTGGAAGGGGATGATTGGGAGGCCATGATCGTAAGGGCCGATAGAGGGACTTTGGCCAGGACACCGGGGTTACACCCCTGCTCTTTCACGAGAAGTGCCATGGGATTTTTAATGACCACAGAGAGTCAGGACCTCGGTTTAACATCTCATCCGAAAGACGGCGCCCACTGACAGTTTAATGTCCCCTTCACTTTTACTGGGGCATTAGGACTCACACAGACCACAGGTTGAGCACCCCCTGCTGGCCTCACTAACACCACTTCCAACAGCAACCTAGTGTTCCCTAGTGGGCTCCCATCCAGGTACTGACCAGGCTCAGCCCTGCTTAGCTTCAGCGAGTAACCGGTCTTGGGCTGCAGGGTGACATGGCTGTGGCGTATAAAGAGAAATCTAACTCTCTCATCATTCCCAGTTGGTTCAATAGTTAACTGTAACTTCCTATGAACTAAGATGAGCACCTCTTTAGTTTTATTATATGCACAAGAGTAGGCTGCCAGTTTGTAAAACTTTTTTTGAAAAAGTGCCACATCACATTGTTTTAAATGAGACTCTTGTTTCAGGGCACAAGAGATTGATTTATGATGCAAATATTTAAATATTTGTGTACGCTTAACAGGAGAATTTAGGCCATTCACAGTCAGTGATAAAATATTCAGAGCATGCATTGTGAGCTTGTAATACCATGAGTCTGCCTAACTGAAGAAAAACAAACGCATTGACTTATTTCTAGTGACTTGTAAACATTTGTATGTACCCCAGATACCAACCCCTCTAAATGTATAATTCTTTTAAAATAAAAGCTAGAAAAATAAAAGTATTGACAACTGTTGCAGGACATAGACAAAAAGAGAGAAAGGAACAAAAAACAACTGTGAACAACCAAAACAGACCGCACATTACCGAGAGTGTAGGTCTGCTTGAACAACAAAAACACCTGTTAATGCGTGACCAGTCCACTTCAACCCAAAATATGTCCCCAAAAGGCCCACTAAGCCAGAAACATAATTTTTGACCCTGTTCTTCATTAGCCCGAAAATAAAAATAATATCAATAAAGATAAGATAAAAACATTACTATTTACCAGTCCACAGATGAGTGTGCAGGGCAGGAGAAAGATCCCAGAAGGAAATTAACAAGTGTCCATGGGCATCTTGTTATTGTCCTCTTCAGTGCAGTTACGATGATCACCACAGATCTTTTCGTTAATTTTCTCTCGTTGAGCTAAGGAGATGGAGATGATAGCTGTTGCCTTCTCTGCTTTGTAGCGCTGAAGAGTATGTCTTCAGTGGCAGTGAAGTAACAAAATCTTCTGCCTTCTGAGGAGAGTCGAACATCATATGCTCACCTTTGTGACGTAGTTTAATTACCGCGGGATAGGTGAAGAAGGGCTGAAGACCAAGTGCTGTTATCTTCCTCAAGACTGGATTAAAACTCTTTCTCTTGGTAGTCGTGACTGAACTGAAGTCAGGAAAAAATAGTAGCGTGACATTGTCCTGTGTATATTTCACCGGATATGTCTGCTGAGCACCTTTTAGGATCGCTGATCTGTCATGCCATCTCAGTCGATCTCTATGTCATGGCCTTTTAGTGAAGGAATCCACTTCAGAAGATTGGATTTGAGGAAACCAGCTGCATCCGAGCCTTTCATCCTGTGCCCCCTCCGGTAACCCCAGTAGTATGTTATTTTTCCTGTTTCTGCCCTCCATGTTCGTCATTTTTTCGGTAAGTTGTGCCAATTGATTTATTAAATTTATGACAGTCTTTCTATCCTCACATGGAGCTGCTGGAACGGAATCAACCCAATCACGTGTCTGTTTGGCCTAGATGGTTAGCTTTTCAACTTTTGTTTTTAGCTG